AGTATCAGTTATATTTGAATCAATGTTGTTATTCTTATATTATATGAACATCTGTTAACAGATTCAATTAGTTAGTAAAATGAACTTCTTTTGGTTATACTCCAGTTTAAATAACGACGAGAAACCTTTAAGGTTTATCAGAAAGCAGGAATTATCCCTAAGGAGCGCTTGTGTAATAAAGGACTCCTAATGAACCAAGGTGAAAGAAATTGTGCTAAGATAGGTGGACGTGTTCTGCACGTTCTTGTATAAACGATAAGGGAATACTCTCCAATACATTGTTAGAGCATTACAGCCAGAAATATGATGGTCTCATGTATATGTTAGTTTGTAAGACCGATAAGACATCACGGAAAAAATATTTTTAAGACTATATTACTGAATATTAAATAGTTTTAACATTAAAAAAAATGGAATTTAAAAGGTTAATTTTAATTAAAACTTTCGATATGAGGTCATTTTCTTTAATCACGTAAAATAACAGGTTGCAAATAAAAAATAATTGACGGGGCTAGTATATGAATGACACATAACATCAGTTATTATTTCAAAATGATAACATATTTCCGAAACATAATACGTCCACGTTAAAAAAACATATCTATAAGTAACTAATTATTGGATAAATAGGAGATTATGAAACTAAACTAAATCCAATTTTTATTGGATCGTATATTGGAGAATAATTTTACCTGATATAATGGTTAAAAAGCGGTTCAAAAACCAAAATTAAATGAGAGGAAACAAACTTCTTACCCGATCACCAGTAAATAAAGTAGATGGAGAAAAAAAAAACAAGAGAACTAAGGTGTGTTCATTAGACAACTGAAAATATCAACAAGGCCAGATATATAATTTAAAATATAAATTATAAGTAATAGCTCATTACAAAGAGGACGAAATGCTGAACATTTCCCTGGCTTACAGTATACAGGCCCAATTTTCAGTTTCCCCGTATGTTTTAATCGATACGCAAAAACACTTCAATTAGTCGACTCCAGCCGAATTTACCCGAGAATTACGAATCGGAAATCTGATGGCTCAATCTATTCCACTCTCCACAAAAAAGTGCAAAACGCGCCTAAAGAGGTTTTCTCTTCAAAAATAATAATGAAATAAAGAAACCATATAATCAATTCTTAATAAGCTGATTGTTCATCCGAATGCTGGCGTGGCAGAGATCGCCAGACAAAGGGATATAAAATACCTTCTACAGACCCATCAAACGGTCGTCGTTATTCTCCGGTTCGTTCCTACAGCCGAGGCTCTCTATAGTTACCTGTCATGTAGACACTGTCACGAACCGCGAGGAGGGCAGTAACTGAAGTAATAATGGGTAGTGATAAAAGCTCATTACTCACAATAACGAAAGGGAAATATAAACCCTTGCCGTTTTGTAATTTATTTTTAATACCTGCAGTTCCATAAAATATATTTCGTGTCACATTAAAAGGTTTAACGTAAATGATTATGAAATCCTAAGTAGTGTTCAAAAAGTTCATATTTCTATTAATGAAGCAAAGGATGGTTTATTAATTGGTAAGAGAGACGAGAGACAGGGAAGTTGGAAAACATCGATATGTCGAAATATCAACATTTTAATTAAAATCAGGATTTGAAATCGATAATTATTTTTTCCACAAAATCATGACAATAATTGTTATATTTGATTTTAATCTAAAAATCATGCCTGATTTATAAATAAAAATTTAAATCGATCTTCTATGTTTATTGTTTCGATTAAAAATAATGGTCGCTCACTGAGTAATACAGTTTTGTATAAATACCAATGATTAAATTGTGATAAAGAAAGAGAAATAAAAATAACCTTTTACACATAAATTAAATAAATTATTAATATCCATGTCCAGATTCTCCACTCAAGTCATGAGTGTCTGTGGCTGTAGCGCTCTTACTCATCCTCCGCTGGTTTAAAATACCAGTGAAGTGGCTGAGGGAGAAGCGTAGGGATCTCCTAAGCCTCCCTTTTCCCTCCACATGTGGAGGGGACAGGATTGGTTCGGAGATCACCTGGCAAATTGTAAATAATGTATGTTTTATATAAGGTGTTTGTTTTACTTTTATTTCTATTTTTATTTACTTATGTGTATATATATATATATATATATATATATATATATATTTTTTTTTTTTCTTTACTCTTTTGTTCTTTCTTCTTATTCTTTTGTTATTACTTTATTTATTTATATTTTTGTATATACGGTATGAATGCAATCTCTGAACTCTATTATAAGTGTCCTTAACTGTGACAAATTGTAATATTTCTGAATAAAGTGTTTTAATAATAATAATAATAATATCCATGTATAAGTTATTAATGCATATATAGCATTTCCAAGTCAAATTTAGAATTTTCAAAACCAAATTAGGATTTTTAAAAAATCAAATTTAGAATTTTCAAATAGAAAATTTATTTTTCTTAATAAATTTCTTTGACGTAGTACCTATTATGAATAATAAGGTTAGGCGTTTTAGCGTATAAAGACTAACAATCACGGAGCTTCAACTCGGTTAATAGTCTTGGCCTCTTCCACCAGCTTCCTCCAGTCATTTCTGTTCATCTGATCATCTTAGTTTTGGTTTCCTTCTTCTTGTGCCTTCTTCAGTATCTCAGGATGATCTGTCAGGATCATCCTAGGGATTGATGCATTATCCATCATTGCCAGGTGGCCAGCTCATCCCAGTCTTCCAATTCATCCTCAGAACGACACCTAGATCATTAAAAATCGAGCAAATTTCTGCGTTTGTCCGCATTCTCCAATTTCCGTCGATCTATACTCTAAATATTCTTCGAACAATTTTTCTCTCTTGTATTAGGAGGTCGTGCTCAATTCTTTTAGCTGTCGTCCACGTTTCTGAAGCATAGAGCAGGACTGGTCGGATTAGTGTTTTGTAGAGATTTAGCTTGTTTTGCCGGGATATAAGGCGAGAGGTGAATTACTTGCTAAGGACAAAGCAAAACTTGTTAGCCATAAATATTCTTTTCTTGGCCTCAAACTCGGGTGCATTGCCTTGTGTTACCAGTGACACCAAATACTTAAACTGCGCTGCTTTCTCAAAGTTAAAGGGGCCAATATTGATGGTCTCGCCTGGTCGAGGGACTTCTCCTGTGACCATATATTTAGTTCCTCCAAAAAAGCTAAAAATCCCTCTCTAACAGACTACAACGACCGGTCCAGGATATCCACATCATCCGCATAGGTTACTAGCTGAACCATCCAATTCTAAATAGTCCCATTAATTTGCAGACCAGAATCCCTCAAGGAATCCTCAAGTGACAAATTAAACAGAAGGCAGTTAAATCACCTTGGTGAAGTCCTTATGTTGAGAACTATCCTTTGACCACCAACCTGCACAGTACACTTTACATCTCTCATAGTCAGCTTTACCAGTAGTATTAGCTTATCTGGGATATTGAACCCTTCAAGTACCTTGTACAGTTCTTCCCGGATAATGCTAACGTAAGCTGCCTTGGAGTCAACGAATAGACGGTGAGTTTAAATCTGATCTCGTTTCTAGGATTGTTCTGAGGCAGAATATTTGGTCTTTCGTACATGTTCCTTGTCTAAATCCACAATCGTAGGGACTAATTTTATTTTATTGATGAGGCAGGTTGTAATATTCATCTTCGATGGAGCCATGCAAGGTCAAGAGTAAATACTCGTACGATAGTAAAAGCTACTGTTAGAGGAAGAAACCTAATTGTAATGAATTTTCCTAATTTCATTTTGGAGAAGGCTCTCTCTACCGGATTTAAGAGAGGAGATAAGGAAGGATGGTAACTCACGGTGAGACAGACTTCTTGCATCTTTTTTTTTACTACTGCAGCTCGATAAGTCCTTGCATTGTCCGTCATTAAAACAAATTATAGTGTACCAGTAATCTTCTCTTGGATTTCTGACAAGAAATCATTGAACCGAACAGCATTACGACTCGCGTTTCAGATTACCTTAAAATGTCCATTTTTCGTTACTGATAGTCAATAAAAGTATCATGTTTCTCCCTCTAACAGCAGTTTTTACTATCAGCAACTTTTACTATCGCACGCGTATTTAATCATGCCCTTTTCCTTCGAAGATGAAGATTAAAACCTACCTCATCAATAAAATAAAATTAGTATTTAAATGTAATGACGCGTAACCTTATTATTCTTAATAGGTACTACGTCTAAGGAATTTGATAAGAAAACTAAAATATCCTATCCATTTGTTGTTAATTCTTTGTAAAAATTCTCAACTTAATTAGGAAAAATCCTAATTTACTTTGGATAGTTGATAGAATATTCTAAATTTGACTTGGAAATTCTATCAACTTTCCTAAGTTGATTGATAAGAATTTTTACAAAGAATTAACAACAAATGGATAGGATATTTTAGTTTTCTTATTAAATTCCTTAGATCCTTAGATATATATATATATATATATATATATATATTATATATATATATATATATATATATATATATATATATATATATATATTTTTTTCTTTTTTTTAAGCCAAAATTTCTAATGAATTTTGGAAATAAAATGTTTACCTGCTAATAGTTAAAAACAATATTCTCCACATACTACTCCAGACGCAAAATATATCTTAGGGATTACAAACAAAATTATATTTCTGATTTTAAAATGTATTATTCAAGAGTTATTATAATTATTAATTGTAAAAATTTTGTTAAAAAATAATGACCAGAATATTGTTTTTTTTTTTCACTTAAGATCAAAACTAAAAATATCGCTTAATAAAAATCGTTAAATGATTTTGAAAAATTCTAAATAAAAATTTTAATCAGATTTGATTTTTATTTTGATTTTTTAAATTAACGGATTTTAAACCCTGATTAGAATATTTATATCGATTCTTTTTCCGATGGTTTTATTTTGATATACCCTGATGTCGATATTAAAATTTGACTATTCGAAATCGATGTTTTATACTTGATTACGTCAAAATATGAGTACCTTAAAAGACAATAAATATTTGTTTTTTATATTTTAGAAGAGAAAGTTAGACACTTGACCTCACATAGATTTTTATCGATAATTTTGAATCACCTGAGTTCAACAACTGTTATATATTGAGATCAATTATTGCGCTGGCGCAGACAACCTTCATTGTCATCCAGGAGTCTTCTATAACAATTTTGACGCCTCTGTTTATATTCTTCTTCCAGATGTTTCCTCATGGTCGGATATCTTTTATAATACTTTGTTTTCACTGAAATTGTTTCTATGGAATATCGAAGCATATGCACAGAGTTTGGAATCATTATGTTAGTTGAAACATCGTACATTGTTAAGTATTTACATTTATTTTAGTTCCGGAATCGAGGCGATGATGCAGAAAAAACTGCTACAAATCAATTAAAGTGTAAATCTTTTACATCAACTCTAACATGCTTCTTCTCAAAGCCCTGAATCTATGAAAATCAGCAATCATTGTTTTAAAAATGTAAACATGTGCCAGTGACATGTGACCAGCATGGCAGGATGAACGAGAACAATTTACTCACACATCACACAAATCGATTTCATCTCTACATCGATACATAACAACTGTTGTAAACATAACCTGTTATGTTATAACAATTTATTCGACAAACTTATGCATCGTTGCTATCACCATGTCAGAAGAAACTGGTTTCAAATATCACGAATATGCCGCAGCGATGGGATACCAGGTTCTGCTCACAGTTGTCATACATCCGTTGGAGTTTGCCGAGTTCCTAATGCAGATTGGGCACACTCCGATTCCTGGGTACCCCATGAAGACGCTATTTGGTTTTCGAAACGCTCTGAAATACATCGGCCACATCCGGAGCAAGGACGGCTGCCTGGGCTGCTACAGGGGCGTCCTGGCGAGGATCAGGTCGAGGCTGGTCAGCTCCTCCACTCTCACCGCCATCACTTACAATTTCCCGAGCTTCCAGCAAGACGAAGACGCTGAGAGCAACCTTAGCCTTTCAGGGTTCGGTTCGATGCTGTGGAGGGAAATGGTGGAGGTGACTATCACCATAATAGTGAGCCAGCCGTTCATCGTCATCAGTTGGCGGGTGATGGGGCAGTTCGTAGGCCGCGAGAAGATCTACAGCAGCTTCTTCTGGTCGATCGGCGAGATCTATTCAAGAAGTGGGTTCACGGGGTTCTTCACCGGCTTGGTCCCACGTTGGCTGGGTGAAGCCATTGCGCAGGCCCTCTCGCACAGCATCTGCTACCTCATCAACCGCTTCCTCATCGACGATCCCTTGCACAGAGCAATAACCAGAGTGTTAGTGAGGTACCTTTGCTATTTGTTCACCTACCCCTTTACAGTTGCCGCCGTTTGTTTTGGAGTCAATGATTGTGGGTTAATTTGTGGGCAGCCACCGGACATGCCGATTTTCCGTGGATGGACCGAAGCTTTTTCATTCATAACCAGGCCACAAAAAAAGGCTCAGTTAACACAGTAAGGCTATACCAAACATCTTCGTATTTAATAAAAACATTACAGTTTCATCAAACAATTTTGTTGTCTAACGACTCAATTTACCGGCTCGTGGTTCTCTATCCATTTGTGGTTCTCTATCCACTGGTCATATTGTCGGAGCCCTTGAGTGAATATGTATATCTGGAAGAAAATATCAAAAGTTGAATCGGCTTCATCACTTCTCTGGTTAGTTCTATTCCAAGTAATGAAATCAATTTTTAGAAGCGTGGCATCGAATCAGTGCATACAGAATTCTTTTTAGTCTTTATCTGTGAACCTTATGAGTGGCATAGATCGATATGAATATTTCTATACTCTATGAGTTTTGAAATGAAAGTAAACAAGAAATCATAGCCAACCTAACCTTCATATATATATCAATAGAACAATTTAGATTCCAGGGAACAATAATGGTTGGGTAATGCTTTTATCCACAAGACGAAGAATTCTTAACGAGAAGAAGTTTAAGAAAACCTCTGAAGGTGCTCGATTGTGTCCGGTAATTGTTCTGTTCTTTTCTTTATACATATAATACAGTTCTTTACAACACTAATGGCCTCTTTTTGTTCTATGACAACAGAGCTTGGTTTTTAATTATTTTGTAGAACTAAAGATAGCACTAGTTCCGAATCGCTAAGCCAAGCTGGTGGCTGGTTTCAAGTTCACCCACACACTGTAGATGGAATGCCAAAAGTAGCCGAGACAAAATGACAGACTTCTATCCCTAAAAGGCATATCTTTGTCTAAAATGCATTGCAAGCGATTTACTGATACACTGAGAAAAAAGTGTCGTATTTTTTATTCGATTTAATTAGGTTATTAAATTAATTTAATTAGATTATTAACACAATTATTGTTATTCATCGTTATAGAGCTTAAAAATTTGAAAGAATAAAGTATATTTTAATATACGTGGCTAGGAAGAAATCAAATTTCGATGAAGCAGTAAACAAGCATTTCAGAAAATCACACAAAAAAATGAAGAGAACTTGATGCTGCAATATAGAGCTGACATAACCTAATATTAATGTAAATATTCTGATAAGGTAGGTTAAAGATAAGTAAGTCAGTTGGCAATACCTATTTTATACACACTTATGTTGTTTCGGTATTTCATTTACAGTGCGCTTAATGTGATCTTGAAAAAAACACCAACTATCATTAGCGATTCGGAATTAATATTCTCAAGGTGTTAAGTAATGTAAGGGATGATAAAATATTGCCACTATTATTACATCTAATCTAAATGAATCTTCTGTACGAGACAGAAGTGTAAGTGGCTAAACCGCTCTCGCTTAATTCCCACTGGCTTTAGCACCAGTGACGCGGTTGAGAGAGTAGCGCACGGATCTCTTGGAGTCCTGCTTTTCCCTCCATAGTTGGAGGGACAAGCCTCGTCTGATTATATATAGGTATGACTGTGTTCTTATGTTTTAAATTTACTTATCTTTAGGTTATTTTATTTTTTATTGTATACAGTTTTTGATTATTATTTTACTTTTATTAATTTTATGTTTTATGGATATATGGTGTAAATGTGTTCATATTTCACCGTAATTATCTTCCGCGTGACAGAATATTATAATCTGAATAAATAGAGAAATAAAAATAAAAAAAACTTTAGAGGACTACCGCACCTTATTCTTTTCCCTTTTCTATTTATATAAAATAACATAATAATCTAACATTATGTACATTACTAAAACATATGACTTTCAGTAACTAATATCGTCGGTTTATTGCAAAAAGATAACTAAGCGCATTTTGATATAAGCTAACTTTCAAATATGTTTTGTGATTTTTTGCTTTATCTATGTAGAAACACCGTATGTGCACGAATGAATGGCACAAACCCTTTTAAATATATAATATAGTTGCAAAAATATTTTTGGCGAAAAGCAAAGTGAATTCTTCCACTCGTTTCCAGTGCCCCTCAATGGGATTTAAATGAAACTATCGATCTATAATAATTTTAGTTGGCTGCAACAATGTTGTGAGATGAGAGACATATCGTTAATGTAAGTTCAAACGGTTGTATGTAAAAATTGATTTTTTTTTATCGCCTTGTTAACTACTTGGTGATGCTTAAAAAAACTTTGTTCACATACTCTTATCTCTTATAGGCTAACTAAAAATTTTTTGGAGATAAAGCAACCAACACATTCATCTTAGAGTACTCCACTCATATTGAACCTGCACCATCACAACCCATGAAGGGTCTTAGGGTCAAGATCAAAAGTCGTTTAGGGATTGGGCCGAGAAAACGCTCCACCGCCAGGTTTTCCCCCTTAAGGAGAACCCACCATAGAGGCTGGGTGTGCCTCAGGAGAGTTCATGCTTCTTATGTGTATTGCGTATCAACTAATGTAAGGATAGATCGGCTGGACAAATATGAAGAGGAAGAGGATTGGATGGACTATACATATAGGTCAGTGAGGTTGGTCGATCGTCCTTGGCAGTCCTTCACCCACTGACACCTAGCAACAGAGCGGACGCCACTCTGTCCCATGTTTATTATATCATACAATACGATTAATTTAATGATATTTATTATTACCTATATATATATATATATATATATATATATATATATATATATATATATATATATATATATTTCACAAGACTTTGTAGGCGAGGGAATTTCAAAATGTTACGCAACTTAAATATACTGGAAGATTTATCCGCAAAACAATTTTCTTTTTAGAAAAGGATAAAAATAGCTGCTGATTTTTTAAAATAATAAGATACAACTTGAAAAAAAAAATATTGAACTAATTTATAACTGTTTCAATTCCTCTTGTATAACCTTTATTCTTCTAACCATATTAACATTACTTAACACGTATTAACTGTTGAGTGGTTAGACTGTTAACAAGTCTAATTATTCTTACTAAATAGGTAGGATGCACCGATGCACACAGGTACGTTCCATGGCGCTAGCTGCGCCATTAAAATGTTTGAGGAGGCATATTTTGACGGTGTTACGAATTTTCGGAATGAAAAGTTGCAAAGCTGGGTATAAGGTGAATACATGGAATAGACCGCAGAAAGTGTAATTGTATATGAATCATAGTTTTTCTAATTCTACTTTCGCTTGCACTATTTTTAAGAAGAGGTGAGCAATAAATTATGTAGGAAGAGGATGACCTTCTCTTTTACGATGCAAGGCTGTTAACGTTAAAAGAAAAACAACAAAAGGATTTCGAAACTAAATTATTGTGTAAAATATTTGGGTCCAAAGAAAGTTAAATCTACAAAACGTCTGGTTTCGATTTACTTTAAAAAAAAAATCATCATTTACCACAATGCTTATAGCATAATCTTTACAACTTATTGATGTTTTAATATGTGGTTAATTATAGGAATTTTAAGATACATATTATTATTAGGGAAATCTCCACTACAGTGATATTTCTTTACCATAATATCTTTTAAACATTGTTTCTATTGTTTTCAATCCTCAAACTTGTTCTTCACTGATGTTATGTCCCTTCAGATTTTCTTTCAGCCCTCTTTACACTTTACCTTTGGTCTTCATTCTTTCCTTTTTCCTTCTATTTTCACTTCCATATATAAAATACCAAATTATTTTTATATTATTAGTAATAAAAAATTACTATTTTTTAAAAAATAATTTATCTTGTTCTTATTCCAGAGCAATAATTTTACCTACAATTGTAGAAAAACAAAAATAAAATATTTAATTAAGTTGGTGGATTTGGAAGGAAAATAGATGACTGGTCTGACAAACTTGCCCACCGAATCACTCTTTCTCTCACTCTCTCTCTCTCTCTCTCTCTCTCTCTCTCTCTATATATATATATATATATATATATATATATATATATATATATATATATATATATATATATACATATATATATATAAAACAAATATCACAATTAGTAATTTTTTAGCCTCTTTATTAAAATATAAACTCTCTAAATAAGGTATTATAATTTTCTTAAATGAGCCGGAAAATTAAGACGGTTACACAACACCGAATTGCGTGAACTGTATAAGATTAATATAATTGAGGTGATTACATTGTGACCTAAATAAAATGGGCGTATAAAATTATTGGGCTTAGTAATGAAAGAATATTTGATGATTAATTGTTGGTGTCGGCATCGAACCTTCGGGTTCGCTTAGTCTTTTATTATAATATATAATTATAAGTTACCTATAATTAACCTTTTATGGAGAGGATATTAATTAAATGCTAATACCTGTCTATATATAGTTCCTCTTACCTGTTACGTTCACCATTGCACCGGCACATAAATCAATATGACATGGGTAATATGAATAATAGTGTAACTACATACATCATTATGTCAGTCGTTAAATCAAATCTAATCCCTTAATTAGAAGCAGCCCGGCTTTGACGTTCTATCTTAAACCCTTACGACCTCTTCTATTTGGTCTGTTGGTCCGTTTTAAAGTATCGATTAATTCCATATTCCAGCTGATCAGCTGATGGTAACTTAAAAATATTGATTAAAATACACCTTAGGTCCGTTGAAACTAAAATAGATAAAGACAAATAAGAAAAAGTTCAAGTCGTAAGTATTGGCATTTGATTGGTTTTCTGGTTATTTATCATGAGTAAATTTCTTTTCTGAATGTTTGTCCAGAACCTTGATTATGTCTATCTATATTTTGAGACTTTTATTTTTCACTAATATCACGAAAACTTTAGGTTTTTTTTTTTCAATAAATCGTGATGTACTGAAATTAAAATAAACGAAATTTCAAATAAAAAAGATATTTTTCTAAATTATTTCTTTAAGAACAATCGCTAAACCGCTAAAACAGGCTGTGAAGAGGCGAGATTTATAAACAAAAAATGGATAATGTGGTTTGTTGCTCCTCACGTCTAATTTATCTGGAAACTATCAATGTTGCGCTTCGGTTCAACTTTAATTCAAACTTCATATAATACAAAATCGTTGACTTAGATAAGATAGACTTAAAATGGTTATGAGGATAATTACATTATCTTTCGGTCGATTTTGATGAGATGTCGAAGCAACAATGTCTTAATGACTAATCAAACAAACTAGAATACATTTTTGGAATTTGGAAATACGATGTTTTAATACGAG